TTGATTTAATATTATGAAATATTTATAAATTAAATGTCATGCAGTGCATGATTCCATTATACAAAAGGTTCGATTAGTCATATATGTGCTACAAGTAATGATATGAGATTATTTTACTATATGTTTGCCCACTTATTTTATTTTTACACCACTAAGCTGAAAGGGAAGTGAGTTTAGGCTTTTGAGTAAGAGGGGGGGGGGGGGGGGGGGGGGGGGGGGAGGCAAAAAGCATGTATTCATAATTTTCATTTTTTAAAACTGAATGTATAGTTTTTTCTTTAAAAACTATTACTGTTAATTGCAATGAAAATTGATCACTATACCTAAAGCTGGTCCAGTTCAGTTAATATTTTAAATATAAATTGCATTTTCAAAAAAAAAAAAACACTTTGGAAAGCGAGATAGGGCCAGTGCATGGATGGGCGAGGGGGGAGAGAGGGGGAAGGGATGGTAAAAATTTAAGACTGAAATCAATTTTAGGGTTGGGGGGGGGGGGAGGCTGAATTTGTTAAATGATATTTTACATATAAAATCGTGATTTCTAATCTGATATAGTTTCAGGAGAGTAAACGAAATCTGAAGAAATCCTATGGAAATCCTATGGAAAACACAGTGAAATAAAGTGCACGAGAAGCGGTGCTGTGCTGTAAAGTTCCCTTTCGAATGTGAAGGTTTATGGGGCAAGTAAAAGTAAAGTTCACTTGTTTCTTTACCCTGGCATATGAAAGAATAGTGTGGTCAGCAATATGCCCAACCGCCTTTACTATCACTGAGACGTGAGTTAGGTACACATCAGACTCTAGGACGTTCGAATGATACAAACCCGGGATTCGAGCTATGAATACTTCTGGGTTAGCAGTCGTACGCTCTACCACCCAACCTCGCTGTCGCAGTGTGTGGTGCTGAGTTATAAATAACACTAGCTGGGGTGGACTAAAGAACGTTTTGCGAACATGAACCCAGATTCGAACTCTAGACATTCGGGTTTGCCGTCGATGCTCTACCATTAGACCATGCCGTCCCATGCTCGTTGCTGAGGATTAAGATTTAAAAAAAAACAACATAATCTCACCTCTGTTGGGCCCGGGGTATCTGGGGGTAACATCGTGCTTGATGAGATTATCTGTGGATGAATTATGTAGGACGTGGTTAATACCTCATTAGCACCTCAGGGTCGGTCGATAGTAATCGTTTAAAGATTATTGATTGAATCTAATAGATCAGGGGGGTTGTAAACACCTTTTTAGTGGTCAGTCTTTAAGCTGCTCCAATGGCGTTACGTATAATTGTCTAACAGGGTTATTACGATACACTAGGTTAAACTGTTTCCCGTAATTTTCAAAACAGAGAACCATATGCCTAGACACGGTCAAAGACATTGTCCTCACCTATGGAAATTACCTATGGAGACATTACCCTCCCCCTGTCAATTACCCCCATCTATAGGTTATTATCCCCTACCCCCAAGCTGAAGAACCCTGACCTTAACCCTTACGACAAACCTACACCTAACCCTAACCCAACAGTAGCCCTAACCCTAGCCCTGACCTAACCCTAGCAATAATGTATTCCTTACTGAGAGGGAGTAATTGACAGGGGGTAATTGCTCGAGGGGGGTAATGACAGGGGGGGCGGTGTCCTGCTCTCGTCCAGATAAGGCATTGACTATACTTGTGTTCCCTTATCAAAATGATGACAAGTATAGAAGAAAAGTCGGATAAACTATATTGATTAAACAGTCAAACATTTATTTTTACTACTTTTCAGATTATTAAAAAAATCAATCCTCCACAATTTTTTTGGTCGTGTCTCTGTTGATGTGAGTCTCCCCCGCGCTAACCCGTCCCCCACGGGACCTCTTGTCTAACGCTGCTGACAGGGGAACTGTACGAGGTTTCATAACGTTTGAAGCGTTGGTGGTTTGATGTATTGGTGGTAGAGGAATCGGTGGGGAATGAGGGGGAACACAGTTTAAACGGGCAATTTGTGTCGTGGAAATATGAAGTAGTGCAGTTTAAACAAGCAGTTTGTGTAGAATAATTCGAAGGTATTGCAGTATAATCTAGCATTTTGTAGAGAAAAAATAGATGGTATAGCAGTTTAAATCAGCATTGTGTAGAAAAATTAGATGGTTTTGCTATTTAAACTAGTAGTTTGTGTAGAAAAAAATTGATGGTTTTGCTATTTAAACTAGTAGTTTGTAAAGAAAAACTAGATGGTTATTGCAGTTTAAACTAGCTGTTTGTGTATGAAAATTAGATGGTTTCGCAATGTAAACAAGCACCTTGCGTAGAAAAAGTAGATGGTATTGTAGTTTAAGCAAGCAGTTTGTGTAGAAAAAAAGATGGTTTTGTAGTTTAAGCAAGCCTTTTGTAATTTGATGGTACTACAGATTTAACAGGCATTTTGTGTTAAGAAAACTGCATGCGTTTTAGTTTAAAATGAATGTGTGTGCTGTGTAAGCAAATTTATATTAATAAGTTATATTTAATAAGTGACAAAACGTGAGAAAAAGAGTCAATATGTATTGTAGATGTACACACGGTGAGATGGTGTCAAGTTTAAAGCCCGACGTTCTTAGCACCTGGGCAAATGTAGTCTGGTACCTGTAGTACTTAGAATAAAAGTCGTAAGTCAAGCCTGATTAGTATTGATACCCACGCTGGGTGGATGGTGATTGTATCCTCTAACGACATACCTCTTGGTAGCCTATTCGAACATGATGGATTATACCTATACGCTAGACCATACATCACGATATACCATAAATACACGACAGACAGTACAAACAATACAGACCGTACCCTTATATACACGACACATAATACCTACACGACAGGCCATACCTACACGAGACAGACCATACATACACGACACACCATACTAACACAGAAAACTCTGTGAAAACATAGAGGTCTTTAATACAATGGAAACCCGACTAGTAGGCTAATATCCCCAAAGCGTATCACCACAATGCACCTAACATCAGAAAAGACAACAACAATAAAGTACCACCCAGTCTAACGACCACATTAATTATGTACTTGCCTGGGTCGCATGTTCTGCCTGAAGTCTGCGAGAAACCTTCCGTACACCGGCACTCCCCGAGCAGGTCAGATGTTGTCTTCTGGCAGATGGCGTTCTGGACACACTGGAAGTGCCCGGGCTCGCAGGGGTCACCCACCAGCTTACTGCGGGTGGTGAGAATTGGACGCTGGGTCACTGCATCGGTGGGGGTTGGTGTGGGTATAACGGAGGGGTCAGAGTCTCTCAGATCTGTCAAATAGAAAGTAAAGATGGTTTTTTTTAAAACATATAAAACAGATGGACACCACAAGAGAAAACGAAGGTGGCCAAAGTAAACATGAAGAAGATCAATGGAGAAAGTGTTGAAAGACGAAGGCCTAACATTCCAACAGGCAGAGGTTATTTCCTGAAACAGGACGAAATGGTGCTAATTTATTGATGCCTCGAGCGCCAATGGTCATTAAAAGATTATCATAAAACAATAAGCATACAATGTTTTGTTATTACAGTGTTTAATTAGTCTATACATCCTACGTGACGATGTTTAGCACAAGATCAAATAGCCAAATAGTAGGGTGTCGCGATGACGATTAGTTCTTGTTGGTGTAAAAAGAATGAGAAACATCTTCATAAACAGATGCGAGTGGCGAACAGGAGGAAGTGGAGCACATCAGAGGGAGACAACTCAGCACTGACAGTCTCTGGCCCTTGTTAGGTTTCCCTGAGTCGACTAGCGTCAAACTTTACAAGCAAAAAACATTTTACAAAAGTTCTGCGGTTTTAAACTAGATCTAAACGTTAAATACAGCTAGAATTGTTTCTAATTGGTCGACTAGCGTCAAACTTTACAACCAAAAACATTTTTAAAAAGTTGTGCGGTTTTAAACTAGATCTACATCTACACGTAAACCACAGCTAGAATTGTTTCTAATGCTAAACGAATTATAAAATAGCAGTTCTACACAATGACGATCTTGAATTAATTTTTTCTTCTTCTGTAAATTGTTCTAGAATACAAGATTTTTTTCTCAAAGTAGAACTGTTCTAAAGTAATTCAGAGAACTACCGTGCATGAACTATACAACATGGGTTATATTATAATCAAATATATTTTCCAAAGTAGAATCAGAGAGGAGATAAGTTGTAAAGTAGAGAAGTAGAATAGTTATTAAGTGTAACGTTAAATAAACAAGGGTTGAAGTACAACAAATGTCAAGTATGGAAAGGCAAAAGTAGAACAGCAGTAGACAAAGAAAGAAGTCTAACATTTAAGTAGAGAACGGTAGAAGTAAAAAAAAAATCTGTAACGTAGAGAAAAACAAAAGAAGAACAGTTGTAAGTAGAGAAAGACAGAAGTAAAACAGCTGTAAAGCAGAGAAAGACAGAAGTAGAGCAGTTGTAAAAAGACAGAAGCAGAGCAGTTGTAAAGTAGAGAAAGACAGAAGTAGAACATTTGTAAAGTAGAGAAAGACAGAAGTAGAACAGTCGTTAAGTAGAAAATGCCGAAAAAAAAAGTACAAATGTAAAAAAAAAAGTTCTGTGATGGAATATCCGGCAAGTGGGCCTGCAAGAAATAAGACAGACGGCAGTAAACTACACGGGCCGTTGCGTGACTCCAGATGGAAATTCCTCACTTGGTAGAGCTCAGTGCCGTGATTGGGAGACGGAAGGTGTTAACCTGTTGGTCACTAACATTTTTCACCCTTTAACATTGAGCGCGGCAGTCCGAGAAGCTACGCTTACCAAAAAAAAAAAAACAACTCCTTACGTAATAGAATACAATCTGAACAACAACATAAACTGAAAGTTGTCTATCAATAATACTTAGATTTAAAAGCTAAACGATTGCGGCAAAATATATTTCTGTGTTGATTAATGAAATTAAATAGCCCAAAAAAGGGGTCAGTTTATATTGATCTATAATGAAGTCGCATACAGTTTTACCCAAACCCAAATCAAAAGAACAATGAACAATGCAATGACAGGGCGAGCATTACCTCCCCTATGATTTTACGCGTCAGTTCATGCCGTAACCATAGTTACCGGTTCATTTTATTTTTTTCTCTCTCTTGTTGGACCAGTGCTAGCTTGAAATCATCTTATACAATAGATGACGATAACGTTATGGGGGCTTTTATATAGAGGTCTTATATGCTTAACTGCAGCCTTATAAGGTGTTATTAAAATTGTATGAAGTTGATTCAGACTAACCAGACCGTTCTAGAGAATGGCTATACTTTTATAACTGCATCTCAGAATACACACGAAGTAAGGACTGCTAAAACACTCTAGACTCTAGTGGATAATTAAACCTTTTTTTTCAAGTTGTAGATTTACCGTCTGATTTCACTTGTCTACAACAACCGAATACAAGTCTGACTGATCAACGTCATTAACACAACAACACATACAGCGTTGGAACACCACATTTCATTAGAGTCGAGCGCTTTTTTTTTGGTAGGGGGGGGGGGGGGGGTTAATTTTTTTTAGTAAATCCTTGATTGGGTTAGAATTAGTCTTAGGTTCATACTATCAAAGCCTTCTAATACGATGGTACATACATGTATAAGCAAATATAAGAGGAGAATGGTTAAATGTATCGTGTTGATAAGTTTAGTCTACCCTTCTTTATGTGTTTCTATTCTCATATGACTGTATAGACGAAAAACTCAGTAGGCCTACGTCCACAAGTACTAGCTTTCAAGAAAAATTATTTCTGAAACTCCATTTCCATATTTTTAAAAGTGTCAAATATTATATTAAAAAGTTTAAAAATATATGCGTTCTAGTTTTTTGATATTTTACAGTAGCGCCATTTAACCTGTAATATTGCCAAATTAAGTAAAAATATATATTCATTTTTAAAAAAGAATTGAAATACACCACTCGTCTTTTGATACAGTTGATATGTTAATATTTCACTAAACTGATATGTTAATTTTAATTCTGTATAAGAGTAAAAGCCTAGAGATTTCTTTTTAAACGCGACAGGAAGTGTAGGGTAATAAAGCGTCTAAAAATAATCTCGTGTCTGTTTATAGGCACAGACTGGGTCGCCAAGGGCAGTGGTTCTCAAGACAACCAACGCTGAGGGGTGGAATCATAAATTCTTATTACAATCCCCAATCGTTAAACATCGGCGTCGATCTGGAATCCCGACTCACAAAATTGCGTGTAGTGATGGGAACAGGGCATTTCCCCCCTGTCAATTACCCCCCGGACACCCCCCCCCGACATTACCCTCCGGAGTAATTACCCCCCTGTCAATTACCCCCTGCCCAGTAGGACATTACCCCCCGGACAGGGTTAAGGTTAGGGCTAGGTTTAGGGTTAGGGTTAGAGTTAGAGTTAGGGTTAGGGCTAGGGTTAGGCTTAAACCAATGTCTAGCGTTGGTTTTGGTTTTGTGTGAAGTTTTAGGCTAAGGTGGAAGCTTAGGTTTTGGTCTTTTTCTTAAGGTTTTGATTAAAGTAGTATATAGTTATAGAATTCTAGTTAGAGTTAGGATTCTAACTTGAGAGGGGGGGGGGTAATTCCCCGGGGAGGGGGGGTGTAATTGACAGGGGAGTAATTGCTCCGGGGGGTTAAATACGGGGGTAATGTCCTGTAGCCTGTAGTGATACACTGTTAATTTAACGCGAGCTAACCAATTCCGATAACCGGTGTCTGGGTTCCGGTGGACGCTCCCACAGTTTGAGCAACCACTTGCCCAGACGGCCCCCGACCAAGTCAAGACAGCCCTCCAAAAGTGCTTGATCTGCGCTTTGTTTTTCCCCCCAACTCACCAATCAGGACGCAGTGCTTAACGTGTGGTTGGGGACGAACACGCAATGTTACTTGCTCCATAAATCGACTTTTTCTTCCATTTTTTTGTGGGTATGTACTCTAAATTATCTGAAGGAATAATACGAGTCTGACAAGCTTCGCATGAGAAATGTTCCCGAAGTGTTATCATTTCTTAATGAAGGATAAGCAGGGGTGGACTAGCTGAGTCCAAGAGCACAGGTACATTTCAAAAAGGGCCCACAACCCCATATTGAAGTTTACAATCTACATTTTTTTTTCTCCATTAAATCCTGAATTCTACTTGCTGGTAAAATACCAACTATTAAATAAAAAATAAAAACTCTATTAGGATATTACAGCGCCGTTCCTGGGGGCCCACCGAGATATTTTCCGGGGAGCCCAGAATGCTTTTTTTTCCTGGTAAACCGGCGGGCCATTCCACCCCTGAGACAAGGAAGAGAAATCTGGGTGTATTTATTTTAAAAAAGGTATCGAATCCATATTTTGTCTGTTGGGTTTAGAGTACAATAATTAATAGCAATGCTGCCGGATATAAGTATGGTAAGAAATAATCATAGAAGGCTAAGTAAGATGGAAACTATCAGTAAACGATACACAGTGGGAACAAAAAAAAAAGGGGGGGGGGGGAGTGATACAGTGAGAGAGAAATTGAGAGAGAATACACACGAGCGAGGTAGAAAAAGAGAGAAAAGCGGAGAGCGAAAAAAAAAAAAGAAACGGTAAAAAAAAGTTTAAAAACGTTAAACAGCTCATCAGTACCCTGTCCCTTGATGTCTGTAAATGACATGACGTTGTAGGGGGGGGGGGGGAGGTGCCCAGCAATCAGGTCGAGTCTTCAGCCATCGTGACCTTTAACCTTAAACAGCACTACGGTTATCGGAGCCAAAAGATAATTTATGTCATCCGGTAATGTAGCTAGTTGTTAAAGAGAGAGACATTAAACGGACAAACTGTGAATTTACTGGAATATTAAAATTAAAACAGATGGCGTTTTAAAAATGTGTAAAAAAAAAAAAAAAGTATTTCCGGGGGAATAGAATTCTTTGCCTCTGGTCTGAGCCGTCAGCTGAGGTCATTCATGTTACATGTCCAGTTTTGACAGGTCAGTGTTAATTTCGTTAGCGATTTCATGGGGGAGGGGAGGGGGGGGGGGGGATACAAAAAAAAATTAACACAATTTTTTTCTTCTTGTCTTAATTTGACAGCTGAATTTGTTAAAATGTCACAACAACGATTTCGATGTCAAATTTATTCGCCAACCATCACCCAGCTATAAAATTTATCCCTGACACTGACAACAGTAAAAAAAAAAAAACACACACACACACACACTACTTCGATACTCTATGCACTTTTGATCACACTAATGCTAAGATGGCAATAGTTTCTACAGTAGCTGAAGATAGGCGGGCTGGGTAATATACTCCCACTCGATGAATGGTGT